ATATATGATAGACTAGAGAAGAAGATAGATAAATGGTGCGAATCACTAATACAATGGCGGTATGGGGTACAGCAAGGCTCTCATGTACGTAGAATCGGGAAGAAGTACCTCAGATGGGAAACAACAACCCAAGAATGTGTTGGAACCATGAGAAGGGTATACCCTGTAAATTTGGATACAGGTGCAAATTCAGCCATGGTCCAAATGACAATAGGAGGGGAAATGAAACAACTGAAGGAAGGCAAAGAATGAGAAGTAACAGGAGAAGGTGTAGGTATGTTGAGAGGGGGGAATCATGCCCTTATAGAAGGAATTGTAGATTTAATCATAGGGAAGAAGTATACCCATGGGAGAGGAACAGAATGCTGGATAGGGGTAACGGGACAGAGGAGGATAGAAGGAAAGAAAAGATAGAAATGCATGAGATGAGAAGACAAGTTGCGTTTTTATCTCAAGCGTTCCAGGAGAAATTCTCCCCCTACCTGGACAGACAACAATACCAGTGGGGAAACACAGATATTCAGGTCCCAGATCAGCAACCAGTTTAGATGACAGGCCCCCAGCAATAAGAAATAAGTAAGGAAACAATAATAAAAAAGACAAAAAACAAAGAAAAACAAAACGTTCCAAAGGTAACAAAAGTATATATACTAACTTCAATATAATTTACGCTAACGCGAGAGGAATACGATCAAAAAAATGATAGCCTAATGGACTTAATAGAAAATAAAACACCATCAGTAATTGTAATGGTAGAAACACACCTAACCAATAATGAAACAGTGAACATACTAGGTTATGAAACTTATACAACCGTGAAGTTGAACCGAACACATAAAATGGGGGGAGGGATACTCCTAGGGGTAAAGAAAAATCTAAATAATGTAAGTGGGGATAAAAGAGGTTAGGGAAGCAGGGGAACAAAAATGGGTACTAATATATAACAAGAAAATTAAACTTAGACTAGGAATAATCTACGGTGTCCACAAGAGTCCAGAACACCTCAAGAAGAAATCTGTAAAATGTTTGAAGTTATTGAAGAAGAAGTAATAAAAGCCGACCAACAAGACCAAATGTGTATGATAATAGTGGATTTTAATGTTAAAGTAGGAGATATAATTCCAGTGAATAAGAAAGAAACGTCAAAGGGAGGAAAAAAATTAGTGAACATGGTCAAAAGAAATAAACAAATCATATTGAATCAGACCCAAAAATGTGAAGGGAAGTGGACAAGGGTCCAGGGGGAACACAAATCTATAATTGATTACGTGATCATTGATAGGGAATTGGAAGCAAAAATAATAAAAATGAAAATTGATGAAGATAGAGAGTGGGGCATGTGCAGGTATGAAAACAAGAAAGGAAAAACAATCGCGAAATACAGTGATCATAATACAATAAAAGTAAATATAAATTTCCAAATAAAGATCGAGACTAACAAAAACAACCAAAAGAGTCAATTTAATATTAGGAGCCAAAAAGGTCTTAACAAATGGAAAGAAAAAACTGATAACAGCAAATTAGGTCAAATATGGGAAGAAACAGGTAGCCTCAACGTGAAATATACTAAATGGACAAAGATTATAAAACACAAAATATTTCAAAATGAATGAAAAGGCAATTATTAACATAAAAACACCAGTAGGGGAAACAGAAAATTTCATCACAAAAGAAATAGATAGACAAGGAACAATATTAGGACCAGTCCTATGCTGTATGACTCTGGATCACCTAAATGACATCAACAAAGCTAGATACATGTATGGAAACAGCATAGAAATCGGACCCTTATTATATATGGACGATATCCTAGGAATTGGAGATCATAAAACAGTTACAAAAATCGCTCAGTCATGCCACAGATTAGCAGAACAAAAAAGATTAGAATTTAATATGAACAAAACAAACACAATGGTTATAAAAACAATGGTTCTCAAATAAAGAAAGAATAGAGAAAGAGATATTATTAGGTAACCAAGTAATCAAAAAATGCACCAAATATTCGTATCTAGGGGATGTAATTAATGATAAGGGAGAGTATAAGAAGATGATAAGAGTCCGAACTGAAAAATGTAGGTTCATAATGAGGGAAATAGCATCAGGGAGAGAAGAACCAAATTATGGTAAGCATACTATAGCAGCAAGAGTGAAACTATATGAATGCACAGTCTTACATTCCTTATTAAACAATAGTGAAACATGGACAAACTTAACTAAAGAAGAATTTAAAATGTTAGAAGATTCCCAAAATGAGTGCCTGCGCAAAATAATAAAAGCTCATAGTAAAACACCACTGGAAGCACTAAGGGATAGAGTTAGGAATTTTACCAATAGCTGATAAAATAGGATACAAAAAACTCATGCTACTACAATACATAGTTTAGCTAGATAACAATAGATTAATGAAGAGAGTATTTATACAGCAAATCAAAGGGGATGGAAGAAATTGGAAAAATGAAATTTTAGTAATCCTAGAGGAGTACGAACTGGAAATGTCATTTACAGCCATAGGAATAAAACCAAAAAGAGCCTGGAAAAAACAAGCTAGTCAAAGATGCCATTTTAAAACGAGTAATTAAAAGAGACAAATTGAAAACTAGAGATAAAACAAAAATAACAATGATAAACATTGAAACATACGGTTTCATGTATTTAGTACGAGTTCGGTGCAGTGCATTACGTGGCGTACGGACGTGTATTTGAAATGCTCCATGATTCAAGAGTAAACGACTAAAAGAAAACGGAAGCTAAGTAAAAGTGGTTACTCGACCAGGTTGGAAATATTAATCATAACAACTGACATATCACGAAAATATTTTGGAGAAACAATAACACTAGTAATAGAGAGATTGGTATATTCTAACACCAAATTCGAAATTTACCGCCAAAGCTGAATTTTGTTAGCTCATCTGACATAGTCAGATGCAGCTTGTAGAATCGCATGATCGTCCGTCCGTCCGTCCGTCAACAGTTGGGCACAAATCTTAACCGCTCGACGTACGGTCACGATATTCGGCACATTGGGGGGGATCGTCAAAACGAGTTGGGATGTCGAAGCTGGGGTCCAAAGGTCAAAGGTCAAGAGGTGTAAAAAAAGGGGGAACATTCACTCTTAACTTAAGGTATAGGAGGAAATGCAGAATTGCGGCACAAATCTAAACGGCTCGACCTAGGCTCGTGATAGTCGGTGTATAGCATCATGTAGGAAAAGCCATCACTGTGCCGAAATTGGAGGTCACAGGTCAAGGTCAATGGGCCACAGGAGCAGATTTTAGACATTTTCTGAGGACATGGTCTGACGGAGCGATTGAAAAACTTTTTTGTTTCAGCGGTGACCTAGCATTTTTATGCTTTATTGAAAGGACCATGAAATGTCCCTTCTGCTGACATGCGAGAGTAAGTGTCGGATAACTTTTGACCTTCAAGAGGAGGGTTAAACATGGATTTGTTGACTGTCTGTTAAAAAGAAATTTGACTGCCGGATTTGCTAGTAGAATCTATACATGCCTGATGTATGCGGCTACAATGTCACAGTGAAATTTCAAAAGCTAATTTGGTTAAAGAAGGTTTATGCTCCTAAATCGTATAATTTATATGGCATTCTGTAGTGTCAGTATGTTACATGTAACGTAGCCACTGCCAGTGCCTACTGCCAGTGCATGTGTTGTGGTACCTGTGGAGTTTTTTGCCTTAATTGGTTACAGGTGCAGCTCTCTATTGGGCAGCCTGTAGGCTTGCGGTAGGTAAATGGATGAGTGTTTACCTATTCTGTCTTGCAGATAGTTGTTGCTGGCTACGTATGATGGGAGCTTCCATCTTAATCTGAAGACACTTAAACGTACGCGCCATCACTCGTGGCAACTTTCATCACGATCCCAACCGAACATTCTTTTGAGAAGGTTCCTGATACCATCCCTGTGCATTCCACTGTTTCGGCATGTATGTGAAACACATTTGGGACTACACGGGTTTACTAGAATCCCACCACCACCTCCACCACAGAGTCACCGCAGTAGACGTTAGATGAGCGCTGTCGCTATGCGGCACTTGTTTACTGTGTATGAGTGTGCATTTTTTTTTTCAGACTTACTAACATAACTAATTCAGACCTACTGTCGTCGCTGTTTGTAGTTTTACCCAGGGTGGTCTGCTGGGGATGAAGAAAGGGTAGTAGCAAGTAAGTAAGTAAGCCAAAAAGAGAACTAACAGGAAAATAAGTATATGTTGAGGAACCAGTTAGAATAGAATAGAAACTAGTTAGGAAGTATTTAAATTCTGGGTGTTGCATTCTATGCACTAGAGTCTTGTACTGAGTTGTACTTAGTACTAGTAGTTGTACAAGCTGTACTAAGCAGTACTAACTTGTACGATACTGATTCCTGTAACTTTGCGTAAGTAATGAAGTGCCAAGTCTGCAAAACGAACAAAAAGGTTAAAATAAGGATAGGTGAAGACATACTGTGTGATGAATGCAATAACAAAAGATTTGAGTGCCCACCACCAAGAATGATCAGGGCACACACCATGACATTAGTAGAAAATGAAGAGCAAATGAAAAGGATAGAGAATTTACACCAAAAGGAAAATTTGAATGGAAAAGTTAACAAGAAAGAAAAACATAATAGCATTGTATTAGATGGCATTAGAGAGGAACATCATGTAATATTAAATGACGAGAAAACTCAGCGACAAAAAAAACAAGCAAGAAACTTAGTGAGAAGACTATACTTGGAAAAAGGTATGGCAGGTAACCAAGAAATAAATATCGAAGAAATAAATAAATGCACAGTGTGCAAAAACTGTACACAGAGGAAGATGTGGTGCAGTGTGGAGAGTGCGAAAGGTGGTTGCACGATGTGTGTACCATGCTACCACAATACCAACTAGCAATCTTAAAAAAAAATACACGTGTGTCAGGTACGTGTGCAAAAGAAAAGCCCGGAATTACAATAGAAAGAAATTCGGAACATTCCATATGTTGCCAGAAGAAGGTAGAAAGTATGGAAAAGGAGTTCAGTGAGGTTAGAACCAAAGGAGAAACGTTACAAAAGGAGAACAAAGAACTCGGGGACAAAATAAAACAACTGCAAAAAGCATTAGAAGAAAAAAATAGTGAAGAGAAAAAGGAAAATAGGATTTCTAATCAACTATTGAAAGAGGTATCGGAAGGACAAGACAAGCTATCAAGAGCAAAAAGTGAGTTAGAGAAAACAAAAACAACATTACAAAGTATGACAATGGCTGTGAAAAGAGGAGAAGAAATCATAGCAGTAATGGAAGACAAACAAAGAATGGCTGAATTAGAATTAGAAGAAATAAAAGGAAACAAGAGTAAAGGAAAGAAAACCATGAAAGAGCAGTTGGAAAGAAAGAGGGAAAAGGAAACCCAAGAAGGAAAAAGGAAGGAATGAGATAGAAGAGGTGGAAGTAAGGGAAGAAGGAATCCTACAACTCGAAGAAAAAATATTTAAAAAACTGGAACAAAAAATGTATAAATTATTGGATATAGATCATGAAAGCGACAGTGAAGTCAGGCCTGGAGGAAGAGAGCCGTATGAACTGCGGAAACATGAGTATCCAAAAAGAGTTAGGAACACCACCATGCACTCAAGAGACCACATGATGGAACAAAGATCAAGAAATGGAAATAAAATGTGTAGAAACTATGAAGCTGGAAGGCCTTGTAGGTTTGGATACAAGTGCATGTACAGACATAGCTACAACGACACAAGAGCTATGTCTCAAAACTCAACGAGCAACGCATTTACAAAAAGTAAACAGTGCCGCTACATTGCGCAAGAGACATGTGTCCCTATCGATATTCATGCAAGTTCGACCACAGAACAGAAACAAACACTATCAGAAACAAACATGAAACAAACCAAGAACAAACGGAGATAATCAGACAACTGCCACAACAAGTAAATTTTTGAGATCGACAGTTAGTATTACAGGAATAAAATGGACAAAAATCAGGCCCCAAACCAAGATGCGCAAGCAACATATATACACGCAACATATATACGGACACCGAGCTGGCAAGGGGGAAACCAATAAAAAGTATAAAAACAAGTATTAAAGCAACAAGGCGATCTCGAAGTAATATAATCATATATTAAAATTTTAAAGTTATTTATGCAAATGCAAGAGGTATTTGATCAAAATTAGATAGCCTCTATGATATAATTGAAAATAAAAAACCAAAAGTCATTGCCATTGTGGAAACTTATTTAAATAATATGGACAAATTAATTGTTTCTCCTTGGCTATCAAATGTATACCGTCAATCAAACAGAAAAAAACAGGAGGTGGTGTAATGTTAGCAATAGCAGATAGATTAAAAAATGTAACAATTTGCACCAGAGAAGAACGAGAAGCAGGTGAACAAGTATGGCGCTTATTAAATAATCACAGGATTCAAGTTAAAATAGGAGTAGTATATGGACCACAAGAGTCTAGAACTCCAAAGGAAAAAATTATATCAATGTTTGATGTATTAGAAGAAGAAGTTATGAAGGCTGCACAAAAGAATCAAATGTGTTTAGTAGTAGGAGATTTTAATGTTAACGTTGGAATTTCATTACAGGCAACAGTAAAGACCTAACAGCAGGAGGAAAAAAAATTATCAGTTTAACAAAACATTGTAAATTACATTTGCTAAATGGAAGCACCAAATGCAAAGGGATCTGGACACGAGTTCAGGGAGAACAAAAATCAGTAATTGATTACGTGTTAGCCGATAGCGAGCTAGAAAAAAAAATTACCAACATGGAAATTGATGAAGATAGAATGTGGGGATTATGTAGATATGAAAATATGGATGGGATAATAAAAACCCGGTACAGTGATCACAATACAATTGAATTGGATATTATGTTATCAAATAAAGGAAAATACAAAGAGAATTTTGAAGACTTTACAAAAAAGGCATACAATATTAGAAATCAAAAAAGACTCCAGAATTGGAAGATTGCTACCAAAATTAGCAACCTTAATAAAATATCGTTAAAACAAGGGAGCTTCAAAAAGAAACATACAAAATGGATGAGCGATTTAAAAGCTTGCTAGCTTAAAAATACCAGCTTGCTTTAAGAAGTCTGCCAAAAGGTGTACCAATACTTAGTGAATACGTAGGTTTCTCTTTTATATCAAGCGTTCACTAAAGAAAAAGCTCAGTCAAGCTAAACTTGTAATTAATACGAAACTAACCTATTATCTAAATGAAAGAATAAGAATGCTCAATGGAAGGATTAGACTGCAATAACAACAAAAAAGAATAATAAAGTTTTATAAGTAGTTGGATGAGCTCCAAAAACAGGAAGGAATAAACTCGGGAAGCTTTTGGAAAACAAGGAAAAGGTTGCTCCCAGCGAAGGAAAATAAAATGTTTGGAGTGGAAAAAAAAGGGGAACCCAAAGTAAAGTTGGAAAAAGTCAATGAAATTAAAGGAGCCTACGTAGAACACGTTAAAGAATTATTAAGTACTAAAACTCCACTAGGAGAAAAAGAATGCCAAATCGTTAAATTAGTAGAAAAAATGTTTCAGAAAATAAGAAATAAATAGAAGAGTCGAGGACAGTGAACCTAATATTAACGAAATTCAGAAAGTTATAGATTCACTAAAAAGGAACAAATCCCCAGATAACCAAGGCTTAATGTACGAGTTATTAATAAATGCAGGGGACGACCTAAAAATGTCACTGAAAATGATGATAAACTTACTAATGCAAAAGAGAAGTGTTCCTACAGAGTGGAATGAAATTACTATAAAAGCAATTTACAAAGGAAAATGGTCAAATGAGGACCTTAAGAATACTAGAGGCATCTTCTTAACGGATATTATGAGTAAAATAGTAGGAAAGTGAATTTGGTATAGAAAACAGAATGTAATCAAGAGATGCACAAACCAGTGTAGTGGGGAAAAAGGTTATAGCACCTCAGAACATCTATTTGTTGTTAGAGCAATAATAGATAAAAGTAGAAGTCTACTCTTGTTCCTTGGAGATATCCAAAAATGTTTTGATAAATTATGGCTAAAAGACTGCATGATTGACCTGTGGTTTAAACGATAAAAAGGACCTTGTTGGGAAATAATATACAAAAGAATGAAAAAGCCACGATAGCAATTAAAACACCTGTAGAACTACCTGAAACATTTGAAATAGATGAAATAGTGCGTCAAGGGACCGTGTTAGGCCCAATATTATGTTGTATCACGTTAGACCAAGTACATAATTATGGTACACCGGTCTATATGTATGGGAACTCAATAGAAATCACGCCTGTTTTATATATGGATGATATCCTGGGAATTGGAAATTGGGAGACCATGACAAAAATGGCTCAAGCGTGTACTAGGCTGGCGGAAAAAAAATTGCTACAATTTAATATGAAGAAGACAAATATATTGGAAATAAAATTTGGAGGCCCAAATAGCAAAGGAAAACAGATTCTTCTCGGAGATCAAATAATAAAAAGATGTAGTAAATATGTATACTTAGGCGAGATATTAAGTGAAAAAGGAGGATGTAAGGAAATGATAAAACAAAGAACAGATAAAGGTCGATTTATGATGAATGAAGTCATATCTATAGCTAATGAACAAAATGTTGGAAACTATAGGATGGAAGCACGTGTTAAACTTTATGAATGCACTGTAGTGCCGTCACTTCTAAATAATAGCGAAACTTGGACTAATCTGACTAAGGAAGAAAAAAATAGTAGAGGATTTCCAAAATGAATGTTTAAGAAGGATACTCGAAGCGCACAGCAACACACCATTAGAGGCATTAAAAATAGAAAGTGGAATAATACCAATAAAAAATAGAATATGTTATAAAAAGTTAATGTTATTGCAATACATTATTAAGTTAGAAAATAGCAGATTAATGAAAATTATTTTTAGAACAAGTTAAAGAAATTGGAAGTAATTGGGCAAATGAGGTTTTAGAAATCTTGAAGGAGTATGACATAAGTATGTCACTTGTTACTATTGGTTCACACCATAAGAAAGAATGGAAAAATATGTGAAGGAGGCTATTTTAAAAACAGTAATTATGAGAGATACCATGAGGTCTGGTGAGAAAACAAAAATGAAAATGATAAATATCGAAAGCTATGTATGACAATACTGTCATTTGATGATGCATGCTTTGTGTTTAGGTGTACGACGTGCATGATAAACTTAAAAAGATATTTTAAAAATAACTACAGTAATGATATATGTGATTTGTGTGACAAAAGGAAAAAAGAAAATTTGGAACATTTATACTCATGTAAGGTATATAGAGGATATAATAAAGGGGAACGAGTAGAAGATTGGAAAAGTGATGACCCGAAAATACTAAAACCAGCACTATAATATGTTAGAAAGGCATTATCAATTAGAGAAAGTAAAATAATTAATGCTAACTTGTAGACAGAATTTCCTTATCTACAGGATTTCCCCGCACATTCCAAGAGAATCAGTGCCTTGTGAAATACAAGAGAGGGACCCCAAGATACAAGATACAAGATACTGTAGAGATTTCGGGGGTGTGTAACTTACAGGAGCGGTAGACTAGATCAGGATAGTCTAATAAGATAATAAGCATGGTAAAAAACTGTTACGTATGCCATTTATATCACAGCAAAACCCAACTTGGAACCCCTGGAACATAATAATAATATGGTGTAAATGACAAAAAGTTATTATAACAGGATGTACGAATGGGTTGCACTTTTCATTTCAAAGCCTCTTGATAAACAATGTTTTTCGTCTGATTCTCTGGTGCAAATATGTAGAGATTCTTGGCGTCTCCAACTGTTAAGCTCCCCACGTACAGCTGTCCGTGGGAGAAGCAGGACTGTCCGAGGTGTATTGCTATGGCAAGTACCTTGGCCTGTCTCAAGTGATACAAGGCCAGCAACAGTAGCCCACTATGTAGAGGGTTTCAAATGGATCGTACAACAGCGCCTATCTGGGGGATGTATATCTCGTCTTTGACAGGTATATTCAATACAGCACCAAGTGTTCAGCCCGCAAGGCACGGGGTCCAGGTGGTTGTAGGGTGTTCCAATTACAGGTATCATCACCGCTCCCTCAACACAACCAGATTTTAAACATCTCTCAGAACAAGAAGCAACTGATCCAAATTATTTGTAAGGACTTTAAAGGTGACATGGATGTACTGGGAGGCTATCCCCACACGTTAGTCATTACTGGCCAAGATGAAGTGCCTGTAGAGATTTCTCCATACGGCTTAGTAATTCAGAGAACAGACCTCAAGACAGACCATGAAGAAGCAGACACAATCGTCACAGCACAGGCGATATATGCAGCACAATAAGAGAAGAAGAAAGTCATTGTTGAGGCAGATGACACAGATGTGTACGTTCTGTTGCTGTACCATTACCTCGATAGAGGGCTTAA